CAATAAAAAAAAAAAAAAAAAAAAAAAAAAAGCAAACCAAATTTACATTCTGCATTTTTAAGTTATCTTATATGAAAAACAAATTTATCATATTTTATATAAATATAAAAGCAACATCTTAATTCAATTTATATGGCTATAAAATTATTTGTTTAGCTTTTAAACTAGTTAAAAAATTATTTAAAAAAATCAAAGTGAAACCTTATACTCGCAATTTATCTATGGGCTCTTTGATTTCTTGTATTAGTAGTGTAATATATTTCAAATACAGCGTGATTCATTAGAGAATTTGAAATTTACTGTGTAATTTATATTTAAGAGTATTTAAAAATATATTAATTTGACTGATTTTCAAAAACAACATATTCCAATTCAAGAATTATTTCATGCAAGCTATAGTAATTCCCCTTCCATATTCTCATAGATATCTTGTTAATGTAGTCTTAATAAAGTTGTCAAGTAATCTAGAGTTTTTGATAGGAGGGTGAGGCCGGCTTTAGAAGGGTATGATGGAATACGATCAAGGCTAGTCTAGATTGGACTACTTTGAACTGATTTTAAATATTTCTTTTGAGAATGATTTTAAAGTGGTCTAAATAAGAGAAATGATTGTGAAGGATTGGTTTAAGATGTAAACTTACAATTTATAGAGTTTTGTGGGGATTAAAGTCTTCCAATGATGTGGAGAACAAGACTAGGTAGTTGTTCACCTAAGCTTGACTGGAGCTTGAAGGAAGGGCAAGGAGTGGTTTTGAAGGTCTGACTACTAGATGAATGGGCTTAATTGATTGTACTTCAAAATAAACAACCAATCTCATGAAGAAAATGTCAGGTTAAGCCACCAAGTACTAACATAAGAGAAATAAATTCTCCAAAGTAATTTTATCATTCAAGAGTTGAAATGTTTCATTACATATCAACAATATTTATAAAATTTAAAATAACTCTTTGACTACTAGCATTAAAAAAAAAGAAAAATTTTCCAATGAAAAGATATGTGTGACTATTAATCGAGAAATATTACAAGTATGTTCATTAATTCATTTTATCTTCAAGCACTCATTAAATGCCCGCTCATACATTTTTTTTTCATAAAAAAGTCAAACATAAAAACCCTAAATCTAAAATATAAATATTGAAAATCAAAATTTAATTACTTCATCTAGAGTTGTTTCTTGAATGGGCCTTATTTGAGCTATTATTAGGCCATTTTCTTGGACTCTTCCATGGACTCTTATAATTGAACATTTAGCTTCATTTTTTAGATCAATGTGATTTATGAATTTTAAGCTGGATTTAATGTTGAATACAACCAAGTATATATCCAAATATTTCAAAGAAAAAAAAAACTCTCTTAAATTGAAGAAGGGATGTAAGGTCTTATACTATAATCACTATCCGGCCATTAGTGAAAGATCTATCTTAATCATCCCCCTATAATAAATATCAATAGGAGCAAGCCATCTAAGCCTAAACCGAGATTACTAAGGTCATTGAGAAAATATAATTTGTAACAATTATAAAAAGAAAGGGTACATAAGAAAGATAGATGTTTAAAACTCTCAAGGGAAGCCTCCAAATAACAAAAACAAGCTCCTATATCAAAAGAAATACAAACACCATCAAGCCAACACTACAAATTGCATGAAGCAGCAAAGAAAGTTGATGCAGAAATAAAGAAATAAAACTCATATTTTCCTTTCAATATTATCATAAGTTATTCATGTTCCAAAATTATTTATGAATTTATTATCCATTCAAAAACTAACATCTTACCGAAATTACATATATGGTCATCTGTCTCACTTACCATTTATTCAAAATTGAACCACTAAGAGGACGACTGAATGCATAAGTTGTGTGAACAACTACACTATCGTATATGGTGTCCTTTAATCCACTCAATACCTCCATGCCTTTCTCTTTGATTTACACTAATGTATGAGGCTAAGCAGGGGCGGAACCAGCTTCAATTTTGAGGGGGGCAATACAATATAAAAATAATTAAATATTAAAAATAATATATATATATATATATATATATATATATGTTAAGACTTATTTATTATGCTTATAATTATATTTGTAATATAAATTATATTAATAAATTTTATGTTGAGCCTTAATGAGCTTATTCATGAACTTTAATCAAAGTGGTTATGTATTCTTTGTTAAATTTTAAATTATTGCATAATTTTAATTATATTTAAATAATTTTAGTATTTATTACGTAATCCGGTTCAACCACGGTTCGAGCCCGGTTGAACCATCGAACCGTGAGCATCTCATTCTTCCAGTTCGTCGTCTTGTCCGGTTTTCACAACATTGGGTTCAATGCAAATTAGGTTTTTCAACTTCTTCGGACCAACAACTGAGCCGATTCACGATTAAACTGGTCGAACCTGTCAGTCCAGTCGAATTTTTAAAACATTGGTGTTCATTCTAAATAAGAATTTAATGGTAATTGAAAATATAGAGATTCACAAGAAAATAAGCATACACTTTTGACATGCGGCATCAATCGAGATATTTATTTTATATGTGTATATTAGGCCTTCAAGGTCTATAACAAGGAAAATTTGCAACTAAAAGCATAACGCTGACTGCGAGCCCGGTTCTTTGTTGACAAGTAGACAAAGTCATAGGGTCTAACCAATAAAATGAAATTGCTCATAAGTACCTTGATGATGGCCATGTTCATAGACAATCTCAACCGAAGGGGATCCCAAACTTTTAAAATGCCTCACACACTCATAAATATAAACATTTACAATGACAATAAATTCACACCGATTATAACCATGTTGACAGAAAATCTCAACCAGAGGGGACCCCAAATATTTAAAGATGCCTCTCAAATTTTCATAAAAATTTAAAAAATAATAAAAACTTAAAATATTCAAAACCCAATCTTCCTTCTTAGAATTTGCCTCAAAACATAAGCATTAAAACTCTCACCGACAAGTTGAAAGAAAAGAAAGCGGCGCGAAGAGGCCAGGGCACGAATTTTCAGAGCCCTCAAATTTTCGGAGCCCACAAATTCATAAAATTTTGATTTAACTAAAAAATTAGAACATTTGCATAACAAACAAAATTAAGTGAGAATATCTTAGAATAAATTTTAGTTATAGTAAATTTTAAAATCTTTGATTTTTTTAGAGAGCTTGAACTTAATTAAGAACCAAAGCAAAAGTCAATTGTGTATAACATTTTAATTTATTTATCAATGCTTAAAGGAACAAAATAGAAAAAAATCTTTTTACTAAATTTATCTCAACCAAACAAAACATTAAAAACTACTTTGATTCAATTTCTTTATCATTTTTATTTTTATTTTATCTAATCCAAGTCCTTCTTCAAACTAAATAAAGTTTTAAGAGAAACCATCCTCTTTTCAATTCCCAATATCATATTTAATTAATTAAAAAATATTCTAAATAATAACATTCAAAAGATATGGATTAAAAAGGAGTATCTCTCACACACAAATTTCCTCTTGCATTTTGATTTGATCTTAAACTATTTCTATTCAATTAGAATTTAGCTTAAGTTAGCTCCATTGAATTTGAGCTAGCTCATTAATTAGTTGTTTGACTCTAAATATTTTTGTAAACTAATTTCAGGTGATCTTAGATCCTACAAGTCAAATTCAAGGACCTGTTTGTGATAGGAAGTCATGCAACTAGGAAATTTATTTGTTTAAATATGAAAAATTAATGCAAAATTTTTAAATCTCAAGATAGTTGATATTGAAATAATTTTTTTTTTGTTTAAATTGACATAGAACATCCAAACTCCTCTATGTCAACAAACTTATAGTTGAAACAAGCGTCTCAAGTGGACAAATCTGACAAATAAAAAATTACACAATTATAGATTTCATTAAAACCATAATATATCTAAAAAAAATATCAAATGATGAAGGGGTTAATTCTTTAATTCTAATCATACTATAGAGTCCCTTGATTTCTTACAAGAATGTCCATAATATCCTCTTTAAAAACTATAAAAAAGTCGTGATTTTAGATATTTCGGAGAGATCCCAAAGAGAATTTTTGTGTAAGAAATTCCTAGATTAGGAGAATTTTAGAGCTCTAATTCTCATAAACCGACATCGATCGTTCACAAATGCTAAAACATGTTGATGCCTGTCTCGACCAACATTGATGTCTGTTGGCACTTGAAGTTGACAAATTACTAATGCTTGACATCAGCCATCTTAACTCATATAGTCATATGTATATGTGAGGGATTTTCTTTCAAATATTCTAAGATAAACTTTAATCACCGCAGCAAACATTCCAACACACAATGAAAAGAATACAAACAAACAACAAAGGTAGAATGAACAATATCAAGAAAGCCTCTCTTCCATATCATGTAACTCACAAAGTTCAACATTTGAGAAATAAAAAGCAAAAGGTTCAAGCATCACCCTATCAATCGAGTAGCATAGAGATATCAAATTTAGAGGGTATAATCTGAAAAACACCCCTACTTCAGTTTATCGATTTGTCCTAATTTTCCAAGCCCATTGCAGCGAGGACAAACAATTTGAGATTGATCCTTCCTAGCAGCATTTGCTCGAAGTGTCGCACCTGCTTGTCTGATGAATCCTGCCCCATCACATTCTGGACATCTGCAATACAAAGACAAACACATCATTGTTTGGTTTCCTACTTTCTTTAAATGAGAAACAACAATGCTGAGACTAGATAAATTAGCAGATGAGAGCATAAAAAGAGGTAGATGAGATTACAAATCCTTGCGGGCAAAAAATATGGGAAACGCTGTCCCAATGAGCGCCACCGCTGCAGCGCCGGCAAACAGATAAATGTTGCTATCAGCTGATACATCACCAACAGCAGAAACGCTCACAACCCTGGAGAACGACTGAGTGGTTGCTGGACGAAATCCAAAGCATTTGGATTTTGGAGACTCCAGTGGCGATGCAGCGGTCAGCCGTCGAGCTTTTGCAGGTGATGAAAGCTGGAGAGGAGAAATGGAAGAAGACATTGTTATGATGAAGTTGAGATTATGGCATCAATGAACGGGCAGCTCTTCTATCGGTATGTGGCGGTGAAACGAGTGGTGTTTAGATGGATAAGGACACGTCAGAATGGATAAGATTAGGACCAATTACAAGAATTACTTATCCAAAAAAAGTTCTTTTTTTTCCCATGAAGCACCTTCTGGGGTTGCCAATATCCACTGTATTAGAACCTGTCGATGCTGAATACCGCAAAGTTGGATAGAGCAGGAGGCGAGAATGAAGTGAAATTTCTCAATTCAAAGGCTAAGGTTGTGCTCAATAAGCTGGTATGGTAAATCTTTTTTCTAAGGACAGGGATCAAAGATAAAACTCACAATACATGTGCCTTCTGACTCATTAGACCGATGACTTAAAAAACTCAATCATAGTCAAATGCACCCTACTACCCTAGGTTTGGGAAGGGCGACACTAAACCTCCTAAGTAATTCTTTTTAATAAAAGAAATTAGTCCAGAAATAGCTCATTGTTGCTCCGTTCCCTCCCACACAGAATTTAGGTCATTCGACAGCTCTTCCTATAAACCCAAAAGTTGGAGAAATTACTATGTGCAATGAAATCAAGCCACGTGGTTTGTACACGGTACGTGTATTATGCGCATCATGTGTACAAGTTGTACATAAGGTGTGTACATGTCATATGACTTGATTTCATTGAGTTCGAACGCGAGTTATGTACAGACTCCACACATAATAATTTATTCGTGAGTTGATAAGTTATTACCTTTGTTGGTGACAAAGTTAGACACGTCGAGGGAAGATAGTTTGGACCTACCATGCCAACCATGAGACTCATCGTGGGAGCACTCCACACAAAATACTTCGCTTATCTCATAGCAAGAGGCCTCTCGTTAGAATAAGAGCTAGGATTTACCCTCGTTGCGCTCAAGCTACGCATCACTATCCTCTTCTTCATCTCAACGGATTGACTCGACTTTTGTGCTTCATCCTCTAATAGCGTCGCCTTATGTTGGCATAGGAGGCTCTTGCACATTTTACAATTATCGTTATTCACAACCTTTGGAAGAAGCGGGATTAACGCAATGAAATGAACAAGATGGAGCATACCTTAAGGAAGAGAAATTATTATGGGCGGAGACCGGAAGTAGCTTTTCGTCCGGACTCCAATCACGTGGAGACATGAATTTTCTCTCTTTTATACGAATTTTTATTGCGTCCTCCCACCTGACGCATCTTTACGTTCGGTAAGCCTTGATAACGCGACACCTGGCAACAACTTTACCCTATTGACCCGACGTTAGCCCATACGCTTTAACCCCGTGGTAATGTATATGAAATGTTAACAGGTATTGTTGTTGCCAGGTGTCGCGTTATCAAGGATTACCGAACGTAAAGATGCGTCAGGTGGGAGGACGCAATAAAAATTCCTTTTATACATACCTTGTGTACAAGAGAAAAAATTCATGTTTCTTCATGTGATTGGAGTACGAATGATGTCCGGACTCTGCACATAATAATTTTTACTTGAGGAAAGAGTATGATCTCTAATTATAAGTTTGTCAACCACCCTTTTGACATACAATAGTCAAATCAAACATCATTATTAAAGTCATAAATAGGGGTGCCTATGTAGAAATAAGCGAGTAAAGGGGGGCAGGTGAACTCACCAAAAACTCAAAGGAATATCTAGAAGAAATACCCATCCAAGCAAGAGAAGAACTTGCTTGAGAAGCTCTCACCTCAGCTAGAGAGGTGCTCACTTGAGGAGCACTCACCTCAACTTAAGGGGTGCTCACCCAAGAAGCATTCGCCTCAGCCAGAGAGGCACTCACATGATAAGCACTCACTCTGTTAGAGGAGTGCTCACTTGAGGGGTAGTTTCCTCAGCCTACTGGGTGCTTGTGTGATGCTCCAAGACTAAATTGTGAAAGAATTATTCACTTTATCTTTTAATTAAGCTACCAATGCTTCTAAAACTCTATCAGTATGAATAAAAGGAAACGTAGCTATAAATCATATACATGAAAATATTTTTATCTTCATTCATCAAAATATATAATTATATTCATTACTCAAAATTCAATTCACAATAGCCAAGAGATCACTTACCAATTTAATATAAAACTTTCTAAATTTCTAATTACAAAAAATTAAAATAAATTACGTACGATAAAATAAAATTTGAAGATTCTGATATGTCTCACTCCGCTGGATTCTAACCCCTTCCTCAAAACATATAAGAACCACAAAGTGAGCTAATAACTCAGTAGGTAACAGTAAAAATGTGATGCCCTAGAATCTAAATTGGAAGAAATTTATCTTTTATCTCTTAGTTAATATACTAAAACTTCAATAAGATCATCAATATAAATCAGTCCAGCTAAAGCAAATTTATAAATCATATATATCAAAATCTTTCACCATATTCATTCATAAAATCTAATTTATAACAGCTAAGAAATCACTTATAATATTGATTTATCTCAACAAGCTCCTTGCTTCAAAATATAAAATAAAATTAATAAATAAAAAGAAAATTTTGAAGAACTTGACAAATTTCACTCCACAGAGTCCTAACCTATTTTCTTACCTGAAATCAATCAAATTTACATAATAAACATGTAGCTCAACAAGCAAACAAAACCCTCCCACTGCATTTAATGCAAGATCTCAAGAATTAATGTGTGTTTAACTCAATCAATATAAAATCAGTGATCATTGATATATCAGTGATCAATATCAATACAGCAATAAAAATTAAGATGATCGGTGAAACAAAAGCATCTCAAGAAGCATAAGAATCCATTAGCAAATCAATAGAAGTCTATAAAGAAATGATAGGTGTCGTACAGTAAAACATATGTCGATTATCTATTAGTTATATTCATGCTAATGATTCTATCATATGCTTTCTATCAGTGATATGCTATATATACTTGTCTATCGGTGTGCCATACCAGTGTAGTATATTAATATGCCTATTAATGTCTATGAACTTAAATGTCATATACTATGTCTTATTGCATTAGTTTCAATGCTAGTTTTATCTATTCTATATCAGTTATATCTATTAGTCGGTTCATGTGTTATTATATAAATGCAATCATGAATGTGATTATGAAAGTAGGATATATAGCTTTAATATGGTATTTTCATTCTTTTATATGTCATCTATGAGTCTTATTAATTACAACTTGCCCAAGTGAGAGGACTAACTCCCTCGATGATCAAGGGCAATGTTAAGATACAACGAACAAGCATAATTAGTCAGCTAGTCATCCTAGAAACTCGTCAGAGGCATCCCAATTCCACGTCAAAGGCATTTATCCCCGTTTACCTACCATGATCTAAGCTACATGCCTGTAAGATCATATCATATATTTTCCCACAATGTTTTATATACAATATAAGTGTAGCTTCTCCTATAGCTCCTAGAGCACTATAAATATAGGGCCAAATGACAAATTTTGGACATAGAGTACATTGTACAATAACTTTTTATCTTCTTTTGTTGAAAGTTTATTGAACAAAGCTTCCTTTACTGATTTTTTTTTTCTCTCTCTCCTTCATCTTCTTCTGCCAAGTCCTTTTGACTGTAAAACCCGAAAATCCTATTTTAGGCTTTGCACGCTTTTTAAAGCGCCGCGACGAGGTTTAAGTGAGATTTTCAAGGTTAACGGAATGCAACGAAATTAATTTTAGAAAATCCTACGCGAAATTCTGATCGTTTTGATATATAGAAGTTATACCAAAATTTGCCTAATTAGAGAGTTATTATTTTTAGAAGTGTAAGAATACCAAAACTACCCTTCATTATTCCTTCTGCCGAAATTACTTAAGTGAGGGCAAGGAAGTCATTTAGCAAACCCCAAATCCTCTTAATGGCATAACCGAGCCCTCCCTCTCCATTCTCACGCGTGAAACCAAGCGGACCGAACGGGAGCGGACGGACGGGCGACGGGCGGCTTCCGCGAGGGCTCTCCGGCGACGATTTTCCGGCGAGAAATTTAGGTCGAATCGAAGAGGGCGACGAGGGAAACATTCAGGTACGATTATTTTGTAGCGAATCCTTCTAAATCTCTAGATATTTGAGATTGAAAAATCTAGGGTTTTTCCAAAACCTAGTTTTCTTTCAAATTTTCTTTAAGGGATTGTTAGGTGATGATTTAGCAAAGCGTTTTAATGATAAAAATGAAGGAATTTGAGAAATTTTGGAAGATTTAGAAAGTAGGATTTTTTTTTATGAAAATTTTAAGTTTTTAGCGAAAATTTCATTTTCTAAATTTTTAGGATTATTTTAATCCGAAAATTATTATTATATTATTATAATATGTTAAGGATCAATTTAAAATCAATATTTGGATGAAATTGGAGATTTATGAATTTTTTAAATTTAGGTATTTATTAAATCCAAAAATCAATGTTTATTTAATTAATTATCCTTAATTTTCGTTAGGAATGGTTAAGGGGAAAATGTCGGGTTTAGCAATAAGACTTAGGAAATTTGATTTCAAATTGTGACACGTTTACTTTATAAACTTTTAGGTGGTGATCATTAAGGTGTGAAGTGAAGGAATTGTGTCGAAGCGACGTACTGTGTTTAATTTTAGGTAGGTGTTCAGAACCAGTTAAATTTATAAGTGCTTCAAATTTCTTATTGCTAAATGTATTTCATGTCTTTATATTTTTATTAGTTAATGTTTTAAATTCAGTAATTTTGCAAGTTTATGTCTTTATTTATTTGCATTAACTGTTGAGCATATGAATCATAAGAAAGGCATTTAGGCATGAAAATAATGAGGCTTATGAAAGGAGATTAAATGGAAATGAAAAGCTTTAATGAAATTAATTTTCATGTACATGTTGATCCGAAAGTGCCCAACAAATGGTAATGGGGCTTGTAAAAGCCAAATGGTAAAGGGGCTTATAAAAGCCAAATGGTAATGGGGCTTGTAAAAGCCAAATGGTAAAGGAAATGACCACAATTTGACTGCGTACCTGATCAGTACGAAAAAGGGACTTCCGGGACGGATGATAC